TGAAAATGAACGGTCCAAATAATGAGTTCACATTGTGAGATAGAAAGAAGAAGGAAAAATGCATAAAAATTTATACGTGGTTTATACGCATATAGAAGAATTTCTCGACATTTCGAAGTGAAAAAAATAAGGAAAACTAAAGAGAGTAATATTAACAAACGAATTACATTCACGCAAGGTACATTTGCTTCAAAATTTAAGCAGTCTAGCTAGCTTAAGAGCTAAGGACTGTGTGCATGCGCAGCCTAAAAAGAAAATTGCATGAGGGGGGAAAAAGAACATACCGTGGAGAAGGCCTTGCTCGCTTTCTTTTTCCTTTATTCGGATATGTTTGTTTGATTGTGTCACTTTAAGGACTTTTTTTTAAAGAAATATGTCCAAAAGTGCATCAACATTTTCAAAGTGCTGCCTTGCCCATCTGGTATCTAAAAACAATCTATGGATGGACTGTGGTGGACACCTTGCTATGGCGTTGAAACCTAGACATGTAAAATACATTACGTAATCATAATTCAATAGAGAAAAAGAAGTAAAATTGTGCTTTGAACAATATAGGTGGAATGTTGTTCGTCCATTTGAAAGTTAGGCGTTTGAAGAAAATAAACAATTTATTTTTATTTTTTATATTTATTTTCATATACTTTCAATTATTATTACACATGAACTTACCTAATGTTTCCATTTACGTTCTCTTGACTATGATTGCAAATGTTGCAAAATGCTTCCAAAAGGCTTTAAAGAGGCTCCATCAAGGTATGGAGGTCACCAGACAAAGTGATGCGCGACTTCATCTTGCCCTCGTGAAGAAAATTCTTGGTTCGGTCACTAACTGTACAAATTCATTTCGCAATCATATAGGTGTAACCAATTTCGTGCCCGCACCCCATACGCATCCTTTAGAAAAACACAATAATGATAGCTCTAATGCAAGACCATAAAATTGATCAGGCAAGTATCTTTTTGCTTAGATTAAGTGTGAGTTGTTGTTTAAATCTGTAGTTCAATTGCACTTTGTCATACGTAAAACATCGGGAACTTGTCAATGATTGGGAATGTATGAGTGAGTGCAATGGAAGCATAAACAATTTGGATATGCATGATGATCCTTTCACAACTTTAGAAGTTTGTAGAAGAATATGCTGTGAGGGATCATTAAGCTATACGTCACAGGGCACTTCATGTTTGAGGGTCGCTTTCAAATTTTTCAGTGATTGTTTATCTTTAGGATCAGCAAGGGAAAGTGCAAGTGAAGTGATGATATTTTAGTCGGCACTGCTTCTACTGCCCTCAAGTACTCTTATAGCCGACGTTAATTTACTGTCTGTGCTTATTATTTTGTGGGGATTAAAAGAGATAAGTTATAAGGTATTGATATCTTATTATTTTGTCGGGATTAAGTTCTCCATGACTAATATATCTTCTTCGACATTCAACTTTGACAAAATTTATAAATTGACCTCTAGTTTGTTTTTTTTTTCTTGTAGTGATAGGCACCAATCGTGACCTTAGAAATTTGTTGTTTAAGAGCAACTCTCGAAGGCTAATTTATCAGTTAAATTTTGTTTTGTGACAGCTAGCCATAGTTAAAAGGAGAAAATGACTCTAACCAATTGTTCAAACAATACAATTTTTGAAAGCCCGAAGTTATTTATATATATATTTAAAAATTTATAATTAAATGTTCAAGGTTATGACAAAATGATCAGCATTACTATAGGATTATAAAGTGGTTAGTCATAATATATAACTTTAGTAACTATGTTAAGTCATATATTTGATTCAACTTTAGTTAATATTGCTGAAATGCTACCAAGTTGGTTAAAGTGGAAGTGCTCCTCACTCTGCACCCGAGTATGAATCCCTCTCTCCATAATTTAGATTAAATTACAGTAGTCTATCGTTTGTATAAAAAATATATATATAATCAATCAAATAACCTACTTCTGCAATCATTTTATCTTAGTGAGGGTTTTACCGGAGAGCCTTCTACTTCTAACAAGCCATGAACTAGATCAGAATCATTCTCAACAAGTGTACAAGTCTTGAGAAAAAAAATTCTTTTAAGAAGGAAAATTTTGGCTCTTATAATGACAAAGAACGGATGGGTTAACTTAACGGCTAGAAGATCACAAAAAAAAAACCCTTAAATTAAAGAAGACAGATGGATTATGTTAAATAAAAAATAAGAGAAGACAACCCCTTAAATTAATTAAGACAGATGGATTATGTTAAATAAAAAATAAGAGAAGACAAATCACATGCGACACAATGACAACTTGCAAATATTGTACTTTTTTTTCTTCTATATGTTTATATTGATAACAATTTGATCCTTGAGGTTTTAAAAAGTTTATATGGCACACAAAAAGAATAGTTGCCTTGTGTTCTCATATGGTTTGTCTTGCTGAGAATATAGAACCTGCGAAAGACAATGCATGTGAGAAAATAGGACCACCCTCTACTACCTGACCCATGCATGTTTATTCTTTACTTTTTGTATTGCTAACACCATATCACACCACATTCCTAGAAATTTAACCGGGTAGTACTTATGGGTTAGGTGAGTTTATAAAGACAACGTATCCGTCTCCTACATCTGAGTTTCATCTCCCTCTCCTTACTTTACGTATTTTTTAGAATATCATTTAGTCAAAAAAAATAAAACTAGAACATAGTCTAGGTAGATGTTTACTCCCATCAACAGAGCAATCTTTATCATTGTGCTTTGAGGAGCATCTTTGTTTGTTGGGTACTCATAAGGGTTTGAAATTCTATCATTCTCGTTCCGAAAACATGCATGTCACTAAAAATTTCACATGCATGAGGATGTTCCTTATTTTCTAAAGGCTTTGACTGCCCCTTATCTTTAGGGAGAGGGGGGGAGTGAAAAGAAGACTTCGTCTTTTTGAAAAGGATGAAGAAAAATGTGCTGGTAGTGAGGAACTGACCGGTCACCTGTATACATTCGACTGGTTGAATCAAACAGAAAGGGAACTGACGGATTGCCATGACAAACCTACTAGTCATCCATCTATAACTGACTTTTTTTTCTTTTTTTTTTTTGGTTCCCGAAACTGCTGGTTGGTTCAAACAAAAGTGTGAAGTGGCTAATTATAGTGAAGCACCCACTGGACGACCATCTACACCCGACCGGTCGGATCACACAGAGGATGGTACTATTGAGAATCAAGTTGTGTGGATCGATCACCCAAATTAGCCTTGATCGCCCGCCCAACAAAAGGCCGCCACTAATATTGCACACAATCCAATGCAGCATTTTTGCTGCACAAAAAAATATTGAGGTTGATTGGCATTTCATCAAGCATAAGTTAGAAACAAAAATAATTTTATTTTCGTTTGTGAAGACTAAAGATCGATTGACTAAGATAGTCTCTAATAGAGTGTTCTACAACTTATTTGCCAAGTTGGGCATGCGAAGCGTAGCCACACTCGGGCCAGAAGTGAATGTGGCCCCCTAATTCTCAAAAGCTACTTTGAAGTTTTATATAAAATCTGAAAATCTGTATATTATCATATACTTTTCAGCTATTGACCCCCTCAATATACAGACTCTATCTCCGCCATTGCGAGATATCTTTACACCAACTAGAGGAGGAGTGTGATCATGAATTGTATATAATTATAAGTAGAAAATTTGTTACCTAATTTGTATAGTTGACCTATTTGAGTGTAATTAGGAGCAAGGTCTAAAATATTGGGAGTTTCGGAAATATCGGTGGTCCAAAAACACGGATATATCGATGGAAATATCGAGAAAATATCGATATCGATTAAAATTGAATAAATATCACGGAAATTTTTATTAAAACTTTAGAGGATGTTTACTTAGTCAATTGTCTATTATTTTATCACAAAAAATTGGAAGGAAATGCATGGCATGGTGGGTTTGAGTGATTTTAGTTGATTATGCAGCGACCTAACAAACACTGTGACTTTAGAAAATATGTAGTAATTAGTGAAAGAAAATTAAACACACCATAATTTTTTAGTTATAATAATTTACTTCAATATATTACACTTGATACATATGATAAAATATATGAGCTTAACCAAAAAAAAAAAGAAGAAGCTGAGTTGGATAAGGCGCTATGGCTTTGATGAGAAAGGGAGGGTTCGAATCCCTTTGTGCGCAAGATGGAGACTTTTCAGCATTTTTCTTGTCTTTTTCGGTTTCATATCGCGATATTATCAATAATATCGATAATATCGCGATATATTGCCTAAATAAAGCTTGAAAAATGTTGAAATTATCGTCCACGACATTATCGCGATAATATCGACGAAATTATCGATAAATTGACGATATATATATGGAAAGGTGCCAAAATATCGCTACCCCAAAAAAACGATATTTTAGCCGAAATATCGGCGAAAATATCGATTTTTCATACAAAGATTGGGAGTTCGTCTTACTATTCTTGTAGTCCAGATAACACAATGTAATCTTATATATTTGCCTCACAAAAAAGAAGAATACATAGATTCCCATCTTACATTAAAACATGAGGAGTTAACGTTAAGTAGAAGAAGAGTCTTCTTTACTTATTTGCTCTTGCTTCAAATTTGGATATAATCTCATATTCTACTAATGAATTTTCTCAACTGTAATTAAATAAAAAATAAAAACATTTTTAAGAAGTCGAAGTCAAGCTATTTGGCAGGTACCTTAATTTCCTCCATGTTCATTGGGCTATATATTTAACCTATATTAGATCTCTCAGTTTCGTCCATAATAGTGATTTCTCTGTTTGAAATTGCCTTTTCGTGCCAAGTGAAAAAATGAACTGGGACTCAACTAAGTTCGGGTTAGATAGAACCACAAGTCCAATTGCCAGAGACTATTGGAAGAGAAGCAAGTTCTGCAGCAAGGCTTAACTATTTTATAAGAACCTAAGAAAGAACCTACAAGTCAAAAATTAGTTGAAATTCGAAATGTATAGTAAACTAGCAGCAACTCCACAACAAAAACCATATTTGTCTAAATAAGCAAGTACTAAGTTATTTACATTCAATAAACAAAATATGTAAAGTATACAGAGGCCCTTTGGAGAACTAGGTATGCATAAAGGCTAGATATGGCAAAGAATAGTAAATAAAAGCATGTAAAATCAACTTATATCTGTTGCAGCCAAGTTGGCCTTTTAAACCCCGCTGGCTACCGTAGTCACGTTAAACAATTGAATTCCGGTAGCGAATCAAAAGTTCAAATTTCTTTGCAAACTCTAATTAGACGATGACAACTCTGTAAACCTAACGCCAAGAAGCAGCCTGTCTAAGGCAGAGTTGATGAGAGTCCCATCCCCCGTCTGGTTCCCTTCTCTTCATGGGAGTAGCTGTCAATGCAACTTGCTGGAAAGATTTCATTTGTTCTTCCACTGTTGAGTTACTTAAAGGAATGCAGAGTTGTCTAGCACTGGTTCCTCTGCTTCCATTCTCTGGACAATTTGCACCAGCATTTAGATCAAAAGTTGGCCTTATGAAAGCAAAGTCGCTGGGGCTGGATCCATGAGGAACCTCCATAAGATGTGGGGCCCCAGAAAACATAGGAAGAGTACCAGAACCGAGAATTTGTGGGATCACGGTGGTTGCATGGGGATCTGTCATGTATGGCAGGGCAGGGGGTGGGTAAACTGTTGAGGATATGCTGTTGTTTGGGTCAAAGTAGAAACCATTATTATAGAGGAAGGCATGAGGGTATGATTGGGTAAAGCTTGCCTTGTGTTCCAGGGTAACTACCCTCTGCATTTGTTCGTTTGAGGGAAGCATATTGGTAGCAGCTACCAGAAAGGGTTTAGCATGATGACTATGACTAAATCCTTCCATTGAACTCAAATGCGGAGAACAGGACGACCTGAAACTTTTACAGTCTGATTGTCTTGAATTTTCCACAGAAGAAATTGCTGGATCATCAAAACCACCATTTGCCCGGGTGCCTTCACAGGGCCAGTAAGGATCAATGCATGCATCTGCAGAAATTGGGTTGTCGTTTAAATCAAAATCCCTAACAGAATGACTTGATAATGAAGCTGGTGGAGACAATTGACGGCAGTTTTCATCATTTTCACTGACACAGTTGAGATCAATATCAAACATTCTTGCTTGTCTGGAACTCACTTCCACAGAAGACTCTTTTGTATAATTACTTGACAGTGCTGGGATAGATTTCTTTGGCAGCAACTCAACATCAAAATCAACACCAGCAGCAACATTGAGGTCAATCCCTTTAACATGTGAATAGTTTGAGCTGCCAATAGTATCATTAGTGGACAATGCCTTATTTCTACTGCAACTCTCAGAAAAAGAAGTACGTCGAAAAGCACTAGTGGCAGATGAACCTCTCCAACCGCTCAGTTCCCCAGCGCTTTGAAATTGTGGCACAGGTAAGCATATTCCTGATTTGGCAGCCATGGGTATTGGCTTCGATACACTTTCACAGATAGATGCAGCTTCTTTGACTGACTTCTCAGTGTCTTCTACTTCATTTTCCAGGACATCTTCATTAAGATCAATTCCAAAAACATGACAAGTTTGGTCACCAGAACCTTCAGGTCTCATAGATGGCTCCAGTTTCTGACAGCCATCATTAATTCCCGGAACCATGTCATGCAATGGTTCTTTTGCCTCCTCCAAACAAAACTGTTCCTTTTTTGTCAACATTTTTAGATCCACAGCCTCTTTAGCTGAAGAGAAACTATCAGACTTATCTTGTTCATTACACTGCTGCTGTATGGATCCAGCTTCTGTCAAGCATCCTTCTTTATCAGAGTCTGTCGAATCAGCATAGCTGAGATGAACCATATCACTATTTCTCACTTCCATAGAAGAGGAGCTTCCAGAAGCCTCAGCCTCCTGCTCTACTTCTTTTGCAACTCTCCAAGCCACATCCAGTGCATCATCCAGGTCATAGGGAGTTTCTGCTCTATCAGGATTATAAATCTCTGCCCCTTTCTTCTTAGGCAGATCAGATTTGAACTGATTAATATTCTCCACAGTCCCACAATTATCATCCAAAGTTAAATCCGGCACCTTGTCACTAGTCCTTGTTCTGATGTTGTGAATAGGCTCTGAATGCTTAATCACATTGCACTGTTTTCCAGATGACAAGTTGGTAGTATCCAGTACTAAACTTCTAAATGCAGGCTCTTCAATATTAAAGTCAGTACAAGTGGAAGTGTCTATGGCACTAAGTTTGACATTCTTACATGTCTTGTTATCAACCGACATTTCCTGACAACTGTCACTAGAACAAGCTTGAAGAATAAGTTGGGTGGAGTTGGAAGAAGAAGACTCAGATTTACATTGCTTATCATGTAAGGATGTCTGAACTGCAGCCCTCAATTCACTTTCACCAATTTTTAGTGGATATCCATCAATTTTCCTATCTTCCAACTGATTAGTTTCAATGGGTTGTATACTGTCCAAGCAACCATCACTGCTCATGGAACTTTTCTTTGTAGAAGCGTTTCCCTCCAGAAAAGGTGCAGAAACTTCAATGTTGGACTTTGCGGGGGAAATCCATAGAGGTACAGCACTGGATGCACTATTCACACAAGACTGTTGCTTCAAATTATAGTCATTATCCTTTGTACAATCAGTTGAAGAGACATGACCAATCCTTTCTCCTTCAGCAAGTTTTTCACTTTTACATCCATCAATTTCATGGTCAGATTTATGTATATGCTTCTCTAATCCCACATTTGAGTCACTTAATGTCCCAAGAACATCAGATAAGCTCTTTTCCTTCCCTGAAAGACTTTGCCCTTCGGGACAACTGAGGTGCCCAACATTGTCTTCCATTTTACTTCCTCTCAGAATATGGTAGTCCACTGGTTTCTGATGATTACCTCCTAAACAGTATTCAGTGACATTAACACCCACGCAGAATATCAACGGAATGCCTTACAAAGTTCAATTTACCAAAATCTACAGGATGCCTTGAGCGAAAAAGCCAACACAAATTTAAGGATGATAAGTGACCAACCGAATGCTTAGAAGTTCATGATTCTTGTTGCTACATTATAGGCATCCATCCCACTCAAAAATATTTGAAGGCCTTTTGGTCATCAAACAGGAAAGTTCAGTTTTAATAACCAAAATATCCAGCTACAGGCAGATGGATCTCCTGCAAGAATTAAGCTCCTCATGAATTAGTAATCTCAATATATTAAGGATGAATAGTTTTCCCAATGCAAAAGAATAAGATGGCTATCTCTCAAAGATTAAGATTGCTAAAAAACATTATAGTCCACTAGACAGAAACATTTAATATACATTTAAGTCACACTGGACCTACGAATTATCTGCTGCACGACTATCTACCTCATTCCATAGAAAATTCATTGGAACGAAAGAAAATAGAAAAACATTGAATTGTCAAGCCACTTGGGTTGTACGAGATAATAAAATTCAAAGTGAAAGAAGCACAAAAGAAAAGCATTTCCCTCATCCCAATCAAAGAAGCTCAATTTGGTTGCAGAGAAATGTATAAAGTCTCTTAATCAAGCTGTCATGGAAAGTAGCATAATGCCCTGAAGTCACCAAAATTTAAAAGAGCAAAATTATGAAACCCTGTACTATCCAAATCCAAGTAAACACAATTTAATTTAGTAGGACCCTGAATTCTCTCACCCACCCTTTTGGTTTTTGTGGAACAGTTTAAAAATCCAATCTGGTTAGTGAAAACAAAAAAATGTAGGAATATGAGCTCAAGTTTTCAACCCTGAAAACAAATGGCTGGACTCCATGAAAATAAACCTTGCCTAAAAAAACGACTAGAATATTATTTCCATGGTTTTCTAATCACTTCGCAATTTATAAGCAATCAAACAAAGACAACATGGGAAGGCAGGAAAATAAGCAGAAAAACCCAAATGGAGCTTAAAATTGAGATTCAAAAATGAAAATATTGCAGACCCAGAAATGAACAGAGACCCAGAAAGGCATTAAACCAACCAATACCTCCAAACAGAAAATTCTACAACAAAGCTCAAACACGGAAAGAAATGAAAGAAAAACAAATAAAGGGTGAAGAATTAAGGAAGAAACGGACCTGTAAGACGAATCTCATGGTGGTGTTGGTGACGGAAGAATCAGTATTAGGGTTTGACAGAGCATACAAAGCAAGACACGCAGAGAGACCCTCAAAGCTCTCTCTCTCTCTCTCTCTCTCTCTCGTTTCTGAGTTGAAGAAGCTACAAAAAGTTGGACCAACCAAACGGATCCTCCCCTTTTCTCTCCTCCAAAAGAGTGAGAGAGAAGCTGACGTAGACCCAAAACGTAACACTCACTAGCATAACATAGCATTGGAATTATAAAAATACAAAAAATAAATAAATAAATTATAAAACAGAAAATAAGAAAATAATATTGGTTTGTTTTGTTTTACAGAGGGAGAAGGACGAGGGAGAGGGGGACAGTGAGACAGAGACAGGAGGATGATGTGATAGGCAGCTGGAGGAGGGAAGGAAGGAGGGTGGGCAGTGTCAGTGGGGGCCCACTCTGACTGCGCCTCCTTCTCTGACTCCGTGGGACCCACATGCTGGTGGGACCGGGCCCCGCACTCTCCTCCTCCTTGCTCATGGAATGCTGCTCCTGGGACCCACATGGTGGCGGTGTGGTATCACCAAAGTCTTCAGCGTTTCGGGGTCTACAGCGTCTTTTTCACCATTTTTAAAATTTTATTATTAATAAATAAGTATTATTAGTAGTGGACCCTACCACCAACCTTATTTTATTGATCATCATTATATTTAATTGTGTTTTATTTTCTTTGCTAGTGTACTAGTGTGGTCTTTGGATGAAGTGAATTGAGTGCATTTTGTGTATCCGTACGTTTGGGATACTTTGACTTGTGATCATTAATGAATGAATTATTATTACATTAATACTACCCGCTTACCTTGTTTTTTTTTCTTCATGCAAATACCAAATTTATTAAGTAGGCGGTAATTCTTGTTAAACACACAAGTTGCCAAACCTTAAAAAAAAGATAAAATTTTAGCAATGTCCTCGACATATAGATATTGTTCCACTTTGCGATATGAACTTTCAATTTAGTTTTGAGCCCCCTAATTTTTCAAAAACTGTCAATGTGACCTTTTCTGTGAAGTTTGTTAATTCCTTCGTCAAGTTTAGGAGCGTTTCTATCCATTCAAGTTATGGTTGTTTTTACCCACCCTAATTGATTCGACCCATTATTCCTTTTAGACCCCATTTTCATCCTTTTTTTTTTTTTTTATGTCCATTAAAACATGATTTGAATGGAAGAATCGGTTGAGTCAACAAGGGTTTAAATTGGTCAAACCAAATTCTAACTTGAATGAACATAAATGCCCCTTAATTTGACAAAGAAATTGACAAACTTGACGAAATGGGACACGCCATTGAAAGATTAAGGGGGCTCAAAACCAAATTTAAAGTTTAGAGGGTAAAGTGGAATCAAGTCTATAGTTCACATAAATTTGGATTCGGATTGAATCTGGATCCTCTGCTTTGATTCTTTTTGCCATGATTTACTTGACTTTTATCCTAAAAACAAAACCCCAATTTACTCGTAATTTTTTTTTCTTTTTAAAGGGATCCTAACCCAACTAACACAAAAGTTTACGTCCTTGAGTCTTTTTTTTCCTCCTTCCTACCTCACGTTATATCCTCTCTCTTTTTGCTCCTCCTTAGTCCTCTTTTTTTTACTTCTTCCTCGCGTTCTTTCCTTCTTCTTTTTTCCTCCTTATTACCTCCCTGCTCCCAAAAAAAATGGTTCTTTTCCCATATACATTGTTTGATGAGGGTGGTTGTAACTTGTAGAAAAAAAGGATTTCCCGAGAGTGAATGCATATACATGAAGCAGTGGTTCTCTTAGACGAACATTAAGGAATGAATATATGGGCACCGCTTTGATCACTTAATATAGTTAAAACTCAAAATTTAAACTCCATTACGACATAAAATATCATTAATAAGAAACTCAGTCACAAAAATGGATCAATATTAGCAAAAAGATCATGAGCACTAGCTGCAAGTCAATGTAAACGTAGTACCCAATACATAATCTCATCTCTTTATACTATAACATAATACACAAAAAGATAGGTTTCCATTCAGACTAGGTTCATGAAAAATTTCTTTTATGCTTATTGAGAAACCATTCATATATCGTATATTATCTTTCTTTTCACAGTCCAATTCTGCAAGAATACATAAATTCAAACATTCATGGATTTAACATTTAATCCATATCATAGAAAACCATATATCATACAATCATAACTGATCAATCAACAAACTTTCCAAAACAAAGCCGGAAGAAGGGGGAAAAAAAAAAAAAGGGGGACTTGGGACGTTAACTTCACATTAGTTGGGTTATGGTTTTTTGTTTTCCTTTTTCAATTAGTAGTAAATTGGGTTTATTTTTAGAAGGCTTAATTATGTACATGCCCCCTGTGCTTTCCAACTTATCTCAGATTACCACCTGTGGTGGAAAACGTCTCAAAGTACCCCCCAACGTGCAAAAAACTGTCTCACGTTACCCTTTCCGTCAGTTTTTTTGAAGTTCCGTTACGAACGTTACTGTTCATCTCCCCCAAAATTCCAGAACAGCAGCTCCTCCCATTTGTTACTGTTCATCGCACCAGTTTTTGGGCTGCCATCGCCTCCTCCGGCCACCCCAAGCGACGACATGGATATCAAAAGAACCAGCACGTTGTCCTCTACCACCCTCACATCTCAGCCGCTGCCAACCGTCGTCTGGATCACCGAAAAAAGCAAGAAAGACGGTTGGCAGCGGCTGAGATGTGAGGGTGGTAGAGGACAACGTGCTGGTTCTTTTGATATCCATGTCGTCGCTTGGGGTGGCCGGAGGAGGCGATGGCAGCCCAAAAACTGGTGCGATGAACAGTAACAAATGGGAGGAGCTGCTGTTCTGAAATTTTGGGGGAGATGAACAGTAACGTTCGTAACGGAACTTCAAAAAAACTGACGGAAAGGGTAACGTGAGACAGTTTTTTGCACGTTGAGGGGTACTTTGAGACGTTTTCCACCACAGGTGGTAATCTGAGATAAGTTGGAAAGCACATGGGGCATGTACATAATTAAGCCTTTTTAGAATGATATGTCAACTTTTAAGTTTTTTAGATTAAATTTTAATAAAATGACGTGTGAAGGATAAAAATCAAGCAAATCATGATGTAGAGAACCAAAGCAGAGGATTTGGATCGATCCCTCGGGTTGTTTTTACATCGAACAGAGGGGGCCTACATGGTGTAGGTTCGGGCATGCCATTGGATATTTGTGGACAAGGACAAGTCACAAGTGAAACATTGCGTGTGCAAACAAATAAAAAATTTAATTACAACTCATTAAAAAAAACAAATTAATTATAAAATAATAATTGTTGTGATCTAGTGTAGTGTAGTGTGGTGTGGTGTGATGGGTTGACGTGACATTGAATGGTGGATGAGGTTGTTGTCGATAAACACTTTGTTGATGTTAAACAAATAAATCATTTATTTAGGGAAATTGAATGGGAGCCCTTTTGTTTGGATAAAGGAAAATAACTGAGAATTTAATTAAAATTGATAATTCCCTTATTTGGTAACTTAATCGTAGAATTTATTAAATGACATGTAGAAAAAATCATGAAAATTAGGGTATCAAATTTCTGAGTTTAATTTCTATTAAATATGTGTCATTTCACAATTTTCATATTGTCATTTACAAAATTCGACATATATAAATTCAAGTACTGAAATTTTCAATTGTCAAAAATTGAAATGCTGAAAATCTAAATTCCGTCATTTTAGAATTCTATGTAATTTTTAATTCATTCATCCAAATAAAGGGAAAAGGAAGAGAACGCTGTAAATGCCAACTTGGGCTATCACTTTTACTTGGGCTGTAAACGAGAAACACTTTGTTGTTTGGACTCTTCATGGCCTAGGAAGGTTCAGTCCAAAGCTGTTTCCTGTTTATTTTTTCTGTTCGTTTGGCTTTCGGCCCGTTTCTCATGGAGAAATAAAAGAAGAAGAGAGTGTAAATGTATTATTCATGTACATGTATGTACCGTACGCATCGAAATTTAATGTGTTGTTGATATAATATTTTCTTTTTGCTTCAGCTGCTCTCGGATTTCTCTGGACGATGCTTTTTGCATCCAAAACATGTTCAATTCGTAAGGTTTGTTTGTTATGTTTCTGTCGGAAGTATGGCATGAAGAGAAATATAAACAAGACATGCACCGATTAAAAACAAGATAGGTACCAAGGGAGGGAGGGGCCAATAGCTGAGCTACGAATTGAATCCCAGAAAAAGGAGCCTAACATTGTCCTGTCGACACGCACAATTCAAAGTGGTCATGCAAGTTGACAGGTGCACACACTATATATACGTGTCAAGCCGCCAAACACAGCCTTTGCAAATGATCCAAGTACAAATTTCGTACCTCCAATTTGTTTGTGATCTTCAGAAACTGACGACCAAGAAAGAAACCACCAAGATATTGAAAGAACAGAAAAAAATGATGAATTTTGTGGCCGTCTTCCTGGTTGTGAGCTCGCTGGCCAGCGCTGGAATGTGGTCTCCGAGCCCACAAAATGATAATCAGAACCAGCAGAAGAAGCAAGGAGATCATCAGAGGGAGGTTATAGTGAAAAATGGGCACAGGGTTGTAGTCGTGGAGTATGACGAGCATGGCCATCCCGTCACCAAAGTCTCAATCTCATCGGACCAAGACCGTCAAGCCGACAAGGATTCTTCCATTTCGGACAATGACGTGTCGTCACCCTCTATGGTCTCGAGGGCATTCGACAAAGCTATGGACAACATGAAGGAAGCGGCATCTGCTCTCCCCAACCTCGGCCAAGGCATCTCCAATGGAGAGGGTTACAGCCCGAAAGAGCTTATATGCGACGCGTATGGAAAATGCAAGCACCAGATTGCAAGGGATCTCGAGATGAAGAAGAAAATTGTGAAGGGTACCGTGCACGGGGCGAAGGAGACAGCACATAAGGTCGGGGAGGCGGTGGAAAGTGCGTACGAGAAGACGGGCGAGGCAGTGGGGAATGTATACGAAAAGGCGAAAGAAACGGTGTCCGATAAAGCTCATGAGGTTGAGGAAATTGCCAAGGACTCGGTGGGAAAAGCGAAGGGTGCCGCTAAAACGGCCAGGGAAATGGGGGAGACCTTGGCTGGGGATATAAAGAGCAACGCGTCGAACCTGTGCGAAGACTTGGCAAGCAAAGCTCAAGAGGCCAAAGAGACTGCAGAGCATGCTGCTGAGAAAGTCAAGACTGGAGCAGAGGAGCTCGAGAGTGGGACCCAGAAGAGGTTTCATGAACTGGGTCGCAAAGGGAGAGAGATTTGGTACGGTGCCCTGCGGTCTACGGGATTGAGTGACGCTTTGGACACTTTGATGTCTGTGGCTAATTTGTTTGGTTTGGCCACTGCTTATGGGACGTGCATGTGGATTACGTTCGTTTCAAGCCACGTGTTGTTGGGAAATTTGGCACCGCAGCAGTTTGGGATGGTGCAGAGCAAAATTTACAGGGTTTATTTTAGGGCCATGGCTTCTAGTGTTGGGATGGCGTTGTTGGGACATCTTTGGAGACACGGAAATAAAAAGTTCACAGGGAATATGTTGCAGTTGCAGAACTTTAATCTTATGGCTGCCCTGTTGATGATTTTTGCCAATATGTTATACTTGGAGCCTCGATCCACCAAGGTAGCTTTTTTATTATTTTTTTATCTTGTATATTTTGTGGCTTTCGTATCCTGCTTACGATTCACTTGTTTATACGATCGATCCCCTTCACAAGCATGATTATTAATTGTGGGGTTTGTTCATTGTGGTCTGTCGGCCCTAGAGACAACTCTCTAGTCTGTCTAAAGTGGGACAAAAGTTGTGCATTGCAATTTGTGTTGGCCATGTAATCTATGGAAAAGAAAGATGAGACTATGCCATGATGACCTAGAAACCTCTCAATGTCATTTAAGGCAAAGGTCACACCAAAAGAAAAAGATAACTTGGTCAAAGGACCCTGTATTTGTGTTTGTTTATCTGTACCTCATCTCAGATGAAGCAGAATTTGGGGACTCCCATAATTCAATGAAACAGTACATTCTGATGTCTTGTTCACAATATTTGTCTACAAATTCCTTTCCATGAAACAGTGGTACATTACTACGACTTCGATAGGTGTTCAAGGTTTTGATGCAGCAGGAAAAGTGAAATTGGTTTGGTTTCGCATTCACTGTTGCTTTCTTTGTTTTTTGTTCTCTTATTTCCAAGCATGTGTGGTGCAGGTGATGTTTGAGAGAATGAAGATGGAGAAGGAAGAAGGAAGAGAAAGAGTACATGTTAGTACCAGAGTCAGCAGCGAGGCTGAACAGCAACCAATTACCGCTGAAGTCGAACCCACAACCACGGTTGCCTCACAAGTCACTGAAAGAAGGGAGCAAGCGGTAGCTCAGGCTGATAATGATAGGCTCGACGAGATGCGCGAGAGGCTTAAGAAGCTAAACTCGTATTCGTCGTTGCTTAACGTCATGTCGCTAATGTCTCTGAGCTGGCATCTTGTGTACCTCGCCCAGCGCCTGCACAGTTAGGATGATGCTTGTTTTGATCATGTTTATTTGTATTCCTTTTGATGCTTTATAACTTCTGGCACTGTGACACACATGGATTCCGATCGATACGTGTATATTATGTACGGATAATGCTACACTCTACTTGCTTTTGTATTAGGGATTTTATCTTTGACAAACATACAACCTTTCGTCTTATATAATTGCAATAAAACTCATTGTAAAAGCAAACCATTTGTACCATAAAAAGACCACCTCCCAACCAGGAGGCTCAGCAAGGTACAAGCATATCTCTGATAGGTTCAGATCAACAGAAGGGTACTCATCAAATATGACGATACAACTGATGATTGCCAAGAGAATAGAATTGATATTTGCAGCAGAGAAGGAGAAAAGTACATTTTGGGACAGCAAGAGAAAGAAAAACTGCCATGAGCATCATTGATAAAGAAAAAAAACTGCATTTAGTGAGGTAAACAGAAAGAGAAGAGTACATTTTGGGACAGTACAGGTAAATAAGAATACCTGTATCACCAGCACTGCCTCTTTCCTCCACACAACACAACATTTATTTTGAAGAGCTTTTATTACTGCTTCCCTCTAAAGACACTAAATTAGCCTTGATCCCCCATCTCATCAGAAATAATTTCAGCATCAACTTCATTGGGCCCAAGACCTTCCACGAACGCAATCCTATTAGTAATGAAACTAATTTTTTTAGCCAGTTGATCTTCTAGTGCTAACAAACTTCCGAGACGGCTAGAATCACGCAAATTTTTACCTTCGAGGTATTCAATCAGAAGTAGCTCAGCATCAAGTGCTTGATATTTAAATCTGGCTCTTTCCAATTGTCCATTCAGCCTGGATATATTTTTCTTCAGAAAGGCTTTTTGATCCATCATAAATTGTCCTCGTCTTTGTTCGGGTAATTTCTTAAAATTTTCCAGTACATAAAACGCTTCTTGTGGAGAAGGCCACGCATCCATCTTGGAATCAGAAGGATCATAGACCACAGCACAGGCAATAATCCCACATAAGGTTGTTATCTCAGTCAGCTTTCTGAACAGACTTGCCTTTCTCTTCTTGAAGGTGACTCTCCTGTTTGGTTCATGAGGAATTAATTCATGCTTAATTTTATTTTTGCCCATGGTTGAGAATACAAAGAAGTAACGGGGATGCTTTCGGAACTTGCATTTGAGAAGGATATAAAGGGAGATAATCCAATGCTGCAAGAAATCAACCATACTACTGCTCTTAATTTTCACATCTTCGTGGATATAGTTATTTCATATAATTGGTAAGAAAAAGAACAAGTATGGTATATAATTAAACAGGATTACTTTTAAAAAAATTCAACATTTAATTTTTCGAACGAATTCAGTTGAACAATGAAATTTGTATTTTATCCATGAAAGGTAAAATTTCTCTACACAAACTTGTAAAAGGATATTTAACTTACTACTAGGATTATTTGCTCAACCTTGTTTACTGTTAGAATACACAATACTCACACTAGTGGCAGGGACAAATCTACATTTGATCCCATTCTTGTACATTGCTATTGTAAAACCAGAATAAGCATTGTGTTATTAGGTTAAAGTGGTGACAAGAAAGGATTCGGAAGAAGCATTTAGATTGCCCCTTTAGCCAGGGAGCTTGAAACTAAACATTTTGGAAATTTACAAATTCTTGGAACTGCAGATTCCAGATCTGACAAAGGCATTTTCATCTATCAGAACAAGTACATTCTCGATATTTGAGAAGAGGCCGAGTAGTCTGGTATTTTAGGTTTCAGACCAGCAAACTCTCCCATTGAAGCAAATCGTCAGTACTTGAACTGGTAGAGGTAGTCAACTGGATCAAAGTCTTGTGGGAAGTTTGATATGTGTCTCTCAGGCATAACCAAGCATAGCGTATGTGGTAAGAATTGCTAGCGAATTCATGCATGACCGATGTGCTCTCCACCTAGAGGTTGTTTAGTACCCTGAGAAACGTGAAGTCTGCTCCAGGCAAAGGAATACACTTTCCTAGCCATAGTGACTTGAAGTTGTACTCCAAATGTCAATGAATGACTTGGTATTTTCTTGCGACAGACCAATTAGGCTATATATAATAATATGGTTTCTATTATTGTTCCTAATAACCTAGTTCAACAAGAATGAATAAACACATTGAGGTTGACAGAGATTTACTCGAGAAGTTAAATTAAGGATTGAATCACATGCCTTTTGTGAAATCAGAGAAATAGTCGCATACCTCACATGAGCACGACTGTACAAGAAGGTTCCAAGCTAAAGTGTTTAAGGATCAATCTCAACAAGCATCTCCATCATATGAAAAGTGTTGTAGGGAGGTAACAAACCAGGGGCTTTAGAAAGTTTCCAAAGATCTACTGAAGTCAACCACCTGAATGTTACTTTTCTAAAATATTCAAGGAACAAACGACTGTGAATATGTCCAACTGTTGTTATAAAGAGTTTGGACCCTCCTTTTCACCATCTTAATCTCATAGGAGTAAAAGTTACCTGACATAGATGAGACAGTTCCAAGGTCAATTGCTTCTCTACCAAGAAGTCCACCAATTGCATCTCTACCTAGCATTCCCGATCATAAATGAAAGGGCTGGAAGAGGAAACAAGATAAGAGGTTTTAACAGATAAAGTAAACAATGCAAAATTCAAAACAATGCAAAGAAAACATTTCCTACACAGACTAAGAACTTGCTAATATGTTCAAACAAACATTAAAAGGCAAAAAGGCAACTCAGAACTTTTCAGTGGAACAATTTTATATCAAAACAAAGTGAGCGAAGGCAAAAACCTTTTCTCGCATATTCCATTTTATTAAAAATAAAAGACAATCATTGAGGTCAATAAATTATAAATATACCTGACTCCTTTGACATACTTGATCATCCGGCGTACAGATAAGTCCAAACTGGTGTACAGAGGGAGCAAAACTGGTTTTTCATAGCAGACTCTTTTTAGCTTCCTATTTAATGTTATCTCATGTACCATCTTCCAAAAAGGATCCAGCTATTCTAATTCTTTTGACTGAAGGACTCTTGTACTTCCTATTAAATATGTAGAGAAAAGATTTGTCTCCAGAATCCAGATGACCACAAGAGAGCATTTATCCAAGAATGTAATCTCAATACATTCTGAATGCGGCTACCAGTAATCTCTACAAGAACAAGCACCATCTCTGAAATGATGAAAACGAATTGGATCTCTTAGGATTATTTCTCTTTTTTCCACCTCTGAGAAGAGCTTCATTGTTGTATGGCAATCAGAGCAGACTCTCAAGTTCTTCATCACCCTCACTGGAGCTGATTGTGGCAAGCTGATTATTCCAAAAGTTACAGCTAACATTTCACTGTGGTAGTGTACCACTTTTCTGTCCTTGATTTCAGGTCCAGAAGTCATCATACAACCTATTTTCTTCATCTTACCCAACATTTCTTCCAACCGAACATAAATTAATTGGATCATTTGGTGAGATTGATCACCACTAACAAAAGAATGAACTTTGTTTCCTACCTCTATCCAACTTAGACCAGGTTCCTTCTTAACTCCTCGATCTGTCATCAACTCCCTGATCTTTTTGGCTGGTAACTCTATGCCAGCATCATTGTAAATGTTGTACAGAAGAACATAAGATGCAGCAGCCTGAGGTTCAAGATTAATTAGTTTCTCTGCAACACGTTTTGCAGCAACAGTGTCCTTATAAACCCTGCAAGCACTCAACAAGGCTCGCCACATAACTGGATTGTCCTCAAAACCTGAGTTGAAAATGAAATTTTCAGCATCCACTAGCCTTCCAGCACGACCCAGGAGATCAACAGCGCAGGCACAGTGCTGTACATTGGTTGTCATGCCATAATCATTCTTCATGATTTCAAAATATCTGCATTAACAAGAACCTTTTTATTCCTACTGAACTAAACAAGGTAAAAATCAGGATATTAACTCTCTGGTTGAGAGGATTTAAAGTGCATTTACAAGAGTGTCATTTTTATAAACCAAGTATTGGGTTGTAAACCAAAACACCTGATGTGATGATCTAGAAACAACTAAATAGATTTCAAATATGGCATATATCTCTGGTAAGGACTCCCATTGAATCCTAAATTAATTCCTAGCAGTTCAAGACTTCAAAACAGTACATTTTTCAAAAAGCTCCACCGGTTCTCTCCTTCATTAATTCTAGATGAATCACCTTGTGCTATTGTTAATTTCAATCCCCTGCAACTTATCACCTATTAGCTTCCCAACCAAGTCCCAAATTCAGGTCTCTTACCTACAGAATATTAACCATCACCAAGTTCTGAACATAAAACACAGTTTCCTCCACCGAAAAGCAACAAGGAAAATACAAAGTTTGTTTCACTTTCAAAAAAAATAATATAAGGAATGAAAAACAAGAAAAGTGGGAAAGTAAAATGGAGGGAAATTTTTATTTGTTTGTATTTGGTTTCTTAACGAAAATGAAGGGAAGTTTTAACTGTATATGTATTTCGTATCGTACTGCACATATTTTGTGCAGAAAGTTTGAAGAAAAATGGAGTTATTTTATCTCATTTCCTTATATTTTCCAATCTTATTTCAGACCAAACAACAGAAAGCAAAGGAATTTAACTTTTAATCTATATCCTACCGTAAACCTTCTTCTACAAGCCCTCCATGACTGCATGCTGTCAGAACTCCAAGAAACGTGATGTGGTTGGGTGCAATTCCACAATTCTTCATCAACTCAAAAAGTTCCAAGGCTTCCCATGCACATCCATGTTGCGCTTTGCTACAGATCATTACGGACCAGGACACCACATCAGGATTCTCTGTCTCTGTAAAGGTCAAATTAGCAGAATCAATGTCTCCAGATTTTGCATACATGCAAATCTGTGAATTTTGAACAATAGTGAATTTCCCGACGCCAGCTTTTACAGCATATCCTTGGATCTGCTCTCCAGACCGTGCTGCAGCCAAATTAGCACATGCACCCAACATGCTCGATATTATGAATTCATCAGGCTTCTTTCCAGATGCCAAGAGTTTATAGAATAAATCAAATGCACTTTCAGTTTCCCCATTTTGAATATAACCTGCAACCATGGATGTCCATGAGACAATATCTAGCCTAGGAGTTAAGTTAAAGCATTTCAAAGCATCCTCAAATAAACCCAATGAAAAGTAGAAATCGATAAGTCCACTTCCAATGAATTCATCTCCCTGCAGGTTGTACTTGCAGACTTGAGTGTGAACTTGCTTCCCATACTCAAAAGCTTCAACCGACTTACAAGCTCTAAGTATTATTGAGAAAGTAAATGTTGAGGGCTTAACTCCTAGCCTTTGCATCTGAGAAAGAAGATTGAACACTTCTTTTGCATGCTCATAAGAAAACGTATCTATTTGGAGGAACCCAGCAATCATGGCATTATACATTACAACATTACGGTAAGGCATGACTTTGAATATTTGAATCGCATCACCTAAATCACCGGTCTTTGCATACATATCAAGCAATGCTGTGCCAACAACAACATCCAAGTCCAACCCCAATTTGACCATGTAGCCATGAAGTAATTTCCCAAACAGTTCTGAATTATCAAAATTTTTGCAGCATGCCTTAAGGGCACTTCCCAATGTATATGTATTCAAGCTGAAACCACGTTGATGCATTTTCACCAGAGTTCTCAATGTTTCCTCGTTAGCACCAATTCGAGCATAACTAGCAATCAAGGAATTCCATGAGACATCATCCAAGTTATCAGAATTCTCAAACAAAATCTTGGCATGATCAACCCGGCCGCACTTTGAGTACATATCCATAAGAGAATTGGTCAAAACAACATCTGAGCCCAACCCACTAAGGACTATTAAGCCATGAACCAGCTTACCTAGCTCAACGTCACAAGTTTGACCGCACACACACAAAGCACCCGCATAGGTAAACTTATCAAGTTTCAAACCAGCCATTCTTGCCTCATTAAACACACCCATTGCCTTATCAAACAAACCCACCTGGGTATATCCAGAAATCAAGGAGTTGTATGAAATGACATTACGCTTCGGCATTTTATCAAACAAATTGCATGCACTATCCAATTCTCCACGCTTGCAGTACATATTAAGAAGATTGTTCAACAAAAACAGGCAGGGCTTAAAACAAGTTTTCACCATGTGGACGTGAGCAAGCTTGCCGTGGACTAAAGACCCAGTTTTGGTAGAGTACTGGATCAATTTTGTATAGGTAACATTATCCAGAGAATAGTTTGGATGGCAATGTTGAGAACTTTGCTGTGAAAGTGGTGTGGTTTGAGGCAACATGGGATGAGAATTATTGGGTTGTCCAAATGTAATGAGAGGCTCAGAAAATTCAATGGCGTTGAAGAGGACATTAAAGTTTGGGGGATTTGTTTTCTGGAGCAACATGTTTCTTTCTTCTATGCATTGAAGTTGTGTGTTCATCCTTGCGGATCCCGAGCCTCTGCATTTAGACTCCGTGCATTTACCCGCATTTCGGTTAATCTAAGCCACTCAAATGATCTAACCACTATGCCACCTAAGAGCAAATTACAAACTCAAAAATGCTTACACTGAGCCAGAGGGGCAATGAAGTTCTTGTATGGAAGACATGTTTATGATGCCTTGTATCACTTCAGGGAATACTCGGCCTTTTGCAAGGACTGTAATTGCACATATGCTTCCACAACATTTTTCCTGCATGAAAAAGGAGGAAAAAAAAGTTTGTAACTTGAGATGTTGGGGGAACATCTGTACTTGCATCTAAGAAGAGCATGATCGATGATAATTTAGAAACCATTATCAATTATCAGTTAAACTTAGGCACATCTTATGTATAGTATCATTTCATATATCCAAATTAAAAGGAAGCTAAACAACTGATCCTCTAAATCAAGGGAAAGAATCAACTTAATCAATCAGAGGAGTGCATGTAGATGACCATAAAATTGAGCCTTGTACATGTGAAATATGTATTTATTTTATAGGTTTGTATATTAGCCCTCTATGTTTTGCAACTTATATAAGCCGCTATGCTTCCAATTGGTCAGTGGTCAAGATATATAGCTAAAGAAGAAAATAAAGATTTGCATAATAGATAAAAGAAAATCATTAATATCCATCTGAGCAACAAATCTTAAAAAGATTATATTCTTACAATGATCAATGATGATGGTGATACCGATAAACATACAGGAAACATAACCCTCCCTCCCTTGTTTCAACTTTCAAGCACTATTTCTACTTTCATTTGCTGATCCAGGCATCAGCTTTCTCAGCATAGTCAAAGAAAAGACTGGATAAGTTAATTATTGACCTAAGAAAGACAGAATCAGTTATTTAATATTTTTGAATTCCTTATGTCCAAAACAAGAATTCTAGCAAACAAATAATACATAGCCCTCACTGACACTGCTCTCCACCATAGTCAAAGAAAGAGAGAAATTCTTTTAAATGCATACCTTTTGAGCAAGACATTTTATCAAACATGTTCTGAGCAGAAACAAATTGTGAGCCATTTAAACTATAAAACCACCAAAAATTATGTCCGTTTAAATCGTACATTGGCGATGAACTTCGCCGCAAGTCTGTTGCAAGACAATCATAAGACTAAATTGGATTATAGAACCGCAAAGAATTCCCAAAGCATGAAGAAACACGCTTCCAAACCAGGAAGAAAGAAGTAAATAAACACGTTCACGACAGAAGGAGGAATCACGTTAAAACTAACCTCAATGCTATTGCAACACAACCAGCCGACTAAGTTAGATGATTGCACCACACAGAACTCTCCCAAACAGGACGCTCCCAATTAACAGGAAGAAAAAAGTTTAAGAAAAAGAAAGAAAGAAGCACGCTCGCTCGCGGGAGAGAGAAGAAAAACACGCTCTAACGTGTTTAAATTTTGGGTCAAAAGTCACTTTTGGTCTTTGTAGTTTGACACTTTAATTACTTTTTGACCTATAATTCCAATTTCGTTAATTTTGCCATTATAGTTTCGTATTTATAGCAATTCAAGGATATGTTAGTATTTGACCAAAAAAAGGACATGTTAGTATTCTTGTCAATTTCTTTAAAGCATCTCTAACTGATGTGTCAAAAGTATCACATAGACATTTAACAGTTATAAATAACATCTCACATCACTCCAACCGATGTGTCAAAGATGACGTGGAATGAAGGCTGGAGGTTGAGATGTTATTTTTGAAATCCCAAAAACAAGATGTCAAATGAATATTTTATTATTTTTTCTTTTCTTTTTAATTAAAAATAAATCAACACTAAATTTTAATAAAATAATAATTTAATTTGACATATCGGGTGGAGTGTAAAACTATATAAAATGTCAAATTGCCACATCCGCCATCAAATTGAAATTTGATGTTTGGTATTTAACATCTCCCTTGGATATACTCTTAGCGATGCAAGTGATAATTTTGTCAACCCAAAACCCTTGAATGTAAAAGCTTGTCTGAAATTCTCCCCATTTCATATTAGGGCTTGAAATTCAACTACTAATCCCAATTTTTGAAGAACTCTAAACTCAAATGACCAATTTCAAGCCCTAATATGAAATTAGGAGAGTTTCAGACGAGCTTTTATGCTCAAGGATTTTGAGTTGACGAAATTGCCCCTTGCGCTGTCAAAGAAATTGACAGGAATACTAACTTGTTCTTGAATTGCTACAAATACGAAACTACATTGTCAAAAATGGTTAAAGTATACTAACTTGTTCTTGAATTGCTACAAATACGAAACTACATTGTCAAAAGTGGTTAAAGTGTCAAACTACATGAACCAAAAGTGACTTTTAGCATAAATTTTGGGAAATAAAATATGACTTGTCTTGTGTTAAGTGATTAGATCTAGTAGCTCAAATTAACCGAAATGAGAGTAAATGCACAGAGCTAGTATGCAGAGGCTTGGGATTCTTCAATATTCTTACTCATTGTTTTATTTTTAGGATTCAGAGCCTGGCGTGTATTCAATTAGGATTGTATACGATTTTGAAAGATTTTTTTTTAAGTGACAGATTTCCTGGAATTATATAACTCCTATAAGTTTTACCCGAAATTTTAATAAACTTGTATAGGCTTTTATTATAGACTTCCATACTTTTGTATGAACTTTTGTTGTAGATTCAGATATATATATATATGTATAGACTTCCCAATACTATTTTCTTTTATCACTCATTCTTCCCAACACTATTTTCTTTAAACTATCTTGACCTAGCCACTAGTCGACCATCCTTTTTTTTTTTTTTTTCCAAATTCGTTCTCTACTTGTGTGCACAACAATGAATTTTCCATGAGTTGGAAACTTTCATACCTAAACAATAAATTTCCCTTTGAAATTTCCATGAGCTGGAAACTTTCATACCCAAACAATGAATTTCCATATACCTAAACAATGAATTTCCCTTTGAAATTTCCATAAGTTGGAAATTTCCATTTGATTTTGTTCAGGAACAACAAACTCTTCGTCCAAAAATTCAATTTATAAAAAAAAAAAAAAAAAAACCCTTTGTCCAAAAAGCAAGGGCCCTATCATTTGGTAGTGTTATTGGTGATGGAAATATATCTCAACCTTCCGCCGCCTTGACGTTGGCTTCACGCCGAGAGATCTCCAAGGGGAACTTATTGGAGATCGAGGAATCTCTAGCCGAGCTTTCCTCCTAGCAACTCCAACTGGTTGATTTGAAGAAATTACTAATGGAGGAGCTTTGCTTAATACAGGATGCTTGTAACCACCCAAGGTCAGTGCATTGTTTGCCAAATGATGGGAAAAAAATTTAACACTAAGAGGGAAAAAAAAAAAAAAAACATCGTATGAAATCTTTGGGGTGGAGGTTGGACTTATGTTGGCCTTTATTATTTATACCTAAACCCTACAAATTCTTCAAACTCCAACACTTAATTAAATCGTTCCAAATCTATCTCATTTTGAATACAGGTAAACTTATTTGGACTTTTTCCAAGTCCTAATTGAATACACCCGCATTTAGATGAACATTTTAAAAGTTCAAGCAAGTCTAGATTGAATACACCCAAACTATTATAGACTTTTTAAAAGTTTGTATAAATCCAAATTGAATACACCCGGATTGGCATATTGAAGCATAATTAATTCATAACAAACTACCAAATGAATAAAAACATAAATATACGGATTAAATAATATAGTTATTTTTGTTGTTGGCATAATATGTTAATTTTGGAACACTAAAAATTCCAACAACCGATGATTCTTGGCAATACTCTAGAATATTTTATTTGAATAATAAACCACCAAATGAATAAAAGCATAAATTTAAGATTAAATAATAAAGCTAATTTCGAAACACTAAAATTCCTACATGCCCAAAGAATATCTTATTCCAATAAAAAACAAACCATTTCCCCTTTTTCTTATGAGCATGATTATATGTCCCAATCTCCAACATAAAAACAAAATGAAAACAAGAAAAACAAAAGCAAAAAGGAAGAATAATCAGCCAATCAGCCAATCACCGTCAATCACTGAAGATATGCAAATCACTGTCAACATTACATTTGCGAATGTCGTTTTGGGGCCCTCGTGCTTCACCTAACTCTGAGTGTTGAATTTCCGTTCCATCTACTTTGCGTGAAGAGTATTTCAAAACCTCACCAGAGGAGAGAAGCCAAACACAAATCAACCACAAGCCATGGAAGAAGACACAATAGTCCTCTACGCAGCTCCAGGAATGGGGCACATAATCTCCATGGTTGAGCTGGGCAAGCTCATTCTCAATCGCTACCCCAAAAAATTCTCCATCACTATTCTCTACACTTGCGGCAGCGTTGTGGATACTCCAAGCATCCCCGCCTACATCCACCGCATCTCCCAAGCCCATCCTTCCATCTCCTTCCGCCAATTCCCTCGCGTTCAAAATGAAAATCCATTATTAATTGGCCGCAGCGGCTCTGCCATAATGTTCGATTTCATCCGCCGGAATGATCCTCATGTCCGCCTTGCCCTCCAAGAGATCTCCAAATCTTCAGCCATTCGCGCTTTTATCATCGACATCTTCTGCTCCTCTGCGCTGCCAATGGCGACGGGACTCCGCATTCCCCCCCCTGGCGCTGCAGCACTTGCGGCTTTTCTGTATTTCCCGAAAATCATGGAACAAACCACCAAGAGCTTCAAGGATCTAACCGACACTGTTTTCGAGTTTCCCGGGTTGAAGTCTCCTCTCAAGGCCTCCCACATGCCCGAGCCAATGCTTGACCGAGACGACCCTGCATATTGGGACATGCTCTACTTTTGCTCACACCTTCCCAAATCTAATGGGATCATAACCAACACGTTCGAAGAGCTGGAGCCTCCTGCAGTCCTCAAAGCCATTGCTGGAGGTCTTTGTGTTCCTGATGCTCCCACTCCTCCCGTC